CTGTTAGCAATTTAAGACGTCTGTCCCTTGACATCATTACACGTGAGGGAAGACACATAATGCTGTTAGGATTGCATTATACTTGGAAAGCTTGATTCAAATCGCAACAGAAAGTAATTAACATGTCGATTCAATGTCTGCTCCCCAGCTGTTCCCCCAGTGTGGCCGTTGTAATTGACATTATTAACTATTTTTACTATAGATATTGCACTAAATTTAAGGACCAGTGTGTACGGCATTTAGTGGCATCTATCCAGTGACAGTTCAGATTGCAACCAGCTAAATACGGCTCATATTGCCAAAGCATGTAGAAGAAACTTACCGGTGCCTGCAAAACATGAAAGACAGTCCGTACCTAGTGAAGGCTCTGTGTTTGGGGCTAGCTGTAGAAACATGGTGGTTCAAGCTATGGCGGCCTCCATAGAAGAGGAAAGAGAAAACTTATAATTGCTTCTCCCACCCGCAGTACAACTTTGATCTTGTCTCAGTCCATCTCTCTTTTGTCTGTCTGTCACTTTCAAACAGCAGTTGAGAGTTCTAGCTGTCTCACTTCCCTTACCCCAGTGGAAAGAGTTGTGGTTTGTCAGGGGTTCCTATGTAGATGAAAAGGTAAGATATGAAACATGACTGAGCTCGAGCTTTTCGCTTTCTGAAAAAAAACAATGCATTTAGAAGGGTGAAAAGAAGGTGAATAAGATCACAGTGGCTTAACCCAACATTAGTCTGCAATATTATTTCCCCCCCCCCCCCCAAGCAGAATCAGTTCAAGATAGAAATAAAAGTTAAGAAGAAAGTGCATCAAAGCTTTTGATCAGGCTATGGAGACTAGATTTAGATTTTGTAACTATATGAAGCACATGCCTTCACTTGACTCTACAGTGCTTCAACTGAAAAAGAAAATCACGTGGACCGGCCTCAAGATTTGTGGTCACAGTCCCATGACAACACTTGAAGCTATAGAAACACATGCCAGGCCTGCTGGGTCAATAGCACACCCACTGTACCACTACTGCAACAAATTAGGAAAGGATGATGTGGAAAAAACAATGTTGCAATTATAAAAGCTGGAGTTTTAATATTTAGATGCCATATATTAATTAAATTCTGTCATATTAAATTATAGCTTTTTAATCTATTTTAGACAATTTATGACATGTCACAAGCAATAACCACCATTTATCGAATAATAAACAAACAAGGTTTGTGTTCAACAGTAATATGTCACTTGTACTAACACCATGATAGGTTTCAGGCTGGATACTGTGTCGCTTACCTGGTAAAACTCCCTCAGCCATGTTTTCTGTAGATTTTCCGGCTAGAAAGAGAAGAAAAGAGCAGTTGTTAGTGACTTCATTTAGAGTATTAGTATTTTAAGATCCAGTGAGGTTTAAAGTGTGTGTTTTAACGTGTTTCAAATGCTAGATGAGTTGCATTGGATCACATCATTTGGCAATCATAACAAAAAATACCAAACTCAAACTAGATACTGTCTTGTTGTTGGACTCCACTCTGATGTTTGACACATGTTCTCAGACAAAATGTGTAAGATCTCACTCACAACAAACACATTTGTGCACAAGTGAGGGGATGTCTATCTAATATATGTGCAACCACGTGTTCGCGTCTGTGCGTCTGCTGACAGGAAGTCTCCTTCCTCCAATTACAGTCTCTTTCTCTCAGGGTCACGAATCCTGTTCTCCAGGGCATAGACAAGCCTCTCACCATCTTTCTTTCTCTCACCTTCTGTTCGCTCTGCCTGTATCTGTCATTCCCTCCCTCCCTCTCCTCCACTTTAAAAGGCTATTCCCAGACCTGGACTCCATTTGGTTTGTGCAGTGGAAACAGAGACAGGGCCCTGGGCAGTCTACCATTTAAGGAGAGATCTCCCTATGTCGATAACTAGGTCTGATGAACAGCTCTGCGTGTGTGTGTGTGTTGGAGAGTTTGTCCTAACAAGACTATTCTATAATAAGAATACACAAGGGATCTGCAGGCTCTGTTGGTATCTGTAACAAAGCCCTAATATATTAGAGAAGTAGGTGCAGTATCCTTGGATGGCATCAGGGCATGAAAACACTGTCTAAAAATATTTTACCTATTTGACAAAACAATCTTAATATTTGAATATTAGAACGTTCACTCTGAGGTTATATTATACTGTCACTGGAGCAAAATAAAATATGACATCTCTGCTCGAACAGGAGAGTTTTTAGCATCACAATCACCTCGTGAGATAAAAATGAACTGATGCGTCAGTGGTAACACTCCTACCTCGGTGATCAACATTAATTTAGTACCAGTGTGCCTGAGTGTCTTTGCTTTACATGGAAATCTCTCAAAATGTCTCACTGTAGTTTAAATAAGGATGTAAAATCATAAACTTTCATATCCCTTGATAATGGAGAGTGCTCATCAGAGTGAATCACCATAGCCGCTTCCACTCTTTGGAGGACGCAACGTGTTGCCAGTCACGACTTACATCTGCTACATCTCCAGAATCACTCCACGTATGACAAAGCATCAACATTAACATGACATATTACCTGTGCTCCTTGATACATAAAGTGGTAAATTCCTGGGCTTTATTAAAAATAGGTCATTAAAAATTAAGAATTATCATACAGATTCTTAACAGTGATCTGGACAAAACCAGCAGATTTTCTCTGGAGAAGGGAGAGTAACTTCTGTTGCAATATACAGTATAAAATGGGACAAGGATCAATAGATTTGTGTTACAAAATGACTACTCTGTAATTTAACTGTAACTAAAAAAGAGATGATTTGATAAGTTACTCTTTACAGTTTGCGACAGAAGAAACGGCTAGCTTGGCTCTCTTCACAGTTCCAAAATACCCCCAAAGCTGTGTGCTCAACCTGTATACAGTTGTGTAAAAACAGCAATTTGTGGTTGAAGAGGGAGTATTTCTTGACGAATAACAGTTTTTTTCTCTTTACCCAGCACTTCTCTGCCACCCATATCCACCTATAGTGCTGACTGCTGAGCAACCTCACTGTGACACGACTCTGGGAAGCCACCGCGCCGGGCTGTTTGCCAAGAAAAAGTGACAGCAAGTGACTCCCCAAAAACTACAAACAGCAGTTTTTACAAACAATATACAGTATAAATTAGTGGGCTTCAGAGGGGCTGGTAGCACATAGCTCAGCTAGCTGTTTCCCCCTACTTCCAGTCTTCATGCTAAGCTAAGATAAGCCTCTTGGCTCTAGCACTAGTCATGAATGGTATCAATCTTCTCATATTAAGCTCAGGACAAACCTGAAGACTAGTACGCATAAATGTTGTTTCGACCAACTTGCAGAAATTGATTTTTAAGTCCGAGACAGTCGAGAGAGAGCACAAACCTTACGGCTGAGCAAATACACTGACAACTCCAAGTTGCAGCTCGCACTGTTTATATGAAGTGACACTTATGCTGAAAAGACCAAAAAAAGAGGAAAAAAAGCAGTGCGTTTGGGTGAGATCCTGGATGGAGAGGCATGTAGCACTGTATCATTTACAGGGAACTGAAGGTAAGTGACGTTTGTAAAAATGAAACTAACTTCAGGACAAGCTATTTATTTAAGTTTATTTAACTATGTCACCATCAGGCGACACACGAATGACATCATTGGTTGCCGATGTCACTGTCCCTGCCTTAACTCATCGAAGGAAAGCCATAAGTGTTCTTCCCAAAATCAACTATTCCTTTAACATGAGGGTTAGAAAAAATAAATTGCAGAACGTCTACTTCCCACAGATATGAGAAACACACTAACAGATTAATTCATGCGGCCAAGAACTCGTGCCCGATATATGTTGATATTTCCAGGGGCACCTAAATGTCTCAAGACTGAGCAAGTGTGTGTGTGTGTGTGTGTGTGTGCGCACCATCGTCCCAGCCTCAGCCAGATCAGACAGAGCATAGGTCTATATAAGGACATAAGCACTGGACCTTGTCATTAGTCACATGGATGGAGGAAGAGAAAAAGAGAGCGAGACGGAGACGGGCAGACAGAGGAACAGAAAGGTTTGAACCAGAGAGTTCCCACCTGACCATCCTGGTAGTATCGCGGCCACATACAGTAGAGTCAGAAGTTTACACTGACACATCAGTTTGACTGTTTAGCGTGTGTTTGTCGGAGTTGTGGCGCACCATGCAGTGCATGCTTGAGCTGGTGGCTTATTGGCAAATGTTACTGTGTGTCTCAAGTTTAAAAACAGAAGTGTGGGATCCCAGTGATAGTACCACCCAGTAAAATGACAACCTTTAATGAATAATCCAGATGTTTTTAGCGGTTTGTCCCAGCACCAGTTAGCTGAGCTCTCTGTGATTTCAATGTGTATCACACTTGGCAGTACACGGTGCAAGGGAAACTAATGGAATTTTGCATTAAACGACGCAGGGGTGACCATGGTAATGAGGCAATAAAACCATACTGTTGACAGTTTTACAAACAACTGTTAAAGTATCTCATCTGGGGAATATGTGTCCTAGATCGCCTCGACGCGGAGCAGAGTGGGAACAAAAACAGCTACAGCAGCTTGGTCGGGTAGGAACTCATCCAGAGCCTTCTAGAGTGCTCAGATTTAGAGTGACCCATCTCTTATGCGATGGTTCTGGGGAACAGATGTTGGCCTTGCCAGAGTGGCTCAGAGGAAGGCCGGCGGGCCCTCGGAGGCCTGGGCCCTGGAGAGAACGTGGGCTAATAGCAGAAGCGAAGGGAGGACGAACCGAGTCTATATCTGTAGTCGCAGCACTTTGCCACCCGCCCCGAGCTTATCAGAAGTTAATTGGCAGTTAATTAGAAAGTGGGGCTATACTGGCAGAGAGGTAAAAATAAACCCATACTCTCCCCTGCCTCTCCTCCACGTACACCTCCTCTTCCTCCACTGGCTCTATCACTCGCTTAGCTCTCTCCACCTCCTGTTTTCTCAGTCGATGGCCTACTTTTGAGACAGCGTGGGGTACTAAGAGACTCTGCTTGGGTTCTTAGTGGAAATATATTTAAAATCACAGCCATTTAAAAAAGGTAGATCTGAAGTGTCCTTGCACTCTTCATCTTTTTATCACTGGCATTAACAGTGGTAAACAATAGATCTCTTCCTTTCCAGTCTGAGCAGAGCGTGAAATAAAACTCTTTTTTAACTAGGACATCGCAACACTGAGTCCAGGTATGAGTATCATGTGACAAGACATTTGCCGACTGCAAATTCATTCTATGAATTAACAAATAAAATGCAAAGCACTGTAGGTGGGAATGCCGGTCAAAATGTGTGTTCACGCTGAGCAGAAGTACAATCTGAAGTTCTACAATGAGAATGACTTTGGACTGATATTATATAAGTATCAAAGTTATACCAGGTAACACTTTGGAGTGGATGTGTATGGGAAAGGGTCTCACTTACACCGTAAAAAGTGTCAAGTAATGCCAGTACTTTCATTTTACGTGCTGAGGTAATGTGGTATCAACATGAAACAACTGCCAAATGCAGTGGAACCTATAGAAGCAACAATTTTCATTGGAACTACTTTCTCGAGCATTAATAGTCCCCTCACATAAGTTTCACAAGCAAGAACAAACCTAAAGTTTCTCTATGACAAAACGCCACTAGATGTGTATGTGAGAAGTTTGTGAACTGACTCTAACCTAAACCACAATGAGGCTGCAACACAAAAAAAAACATGCAATCTGATCTAAAGGACTCTCTTAATTGTCCATATTTGCACAAAATAAATTCTACTGTAGTTTCTGGTGAGCTCTGTATGATAAAAGATAGAAAGTGATGAATCAAAACTAACTGACTGAATGTCATCAGCAAGTAGGCTGTCAGCAGCAGTGACCAATGCTCTCTTGCTCTGAATTAGGTATAATAGTGCAGTGGTTCCCAACCTGGGGTTAGGGACCCCCACTAAGGGTCGCCAAAGCTTCAAAAAGAATCGGGGGGGGGGGGTCACAAGGCTTCTTGATTTTTAGTGTGCAAGAAAACTTAACACAGTAGGGCCTTATTTATCTCAGCATTTGGTTCACTTATGTGAGGAAAAGTGGAATGCAAGATTGTGTACCACTATGTGGTAGAGTTGTTAAAGAGCAATAAATATTAAAATAAAATACAGACAGAAATTGCATTAAAATGTTCCATAAACAGGACATAATCTGCTCAAAATGCTATCCAAACCATCGTTTCACACAAACTATATCCTAAAAAATGCCAGAGTCACGGGCCGTTCGGTCAGTTTACTTAAATTGCATAGAAAAAGTTGGCCCCTGAAGAAAAAGGTTGGAAAACTGTAATAGTTATACGCTTGCTCTGCTGGA